CCCGCCGCGAGGCCCCCGCCCCCCACTTCAGTTTACGATGGCCCACCCCTTCCTTACTCCCGCCTCGTGGTTGGTAAGTTAAAGTGTCCGTCGAGCTCAGGGGCGGGAAAAGGGCACTGACAGACGTGGCGACGGACCAGTGCGAGAGGCGAGCGGGCCGTGCGTGGGTGCGTGCGTGGCGCGCAGGCCTGGAAGCGCTGGACCTGAGAGGTGTGCAGGCGGGTTGAGCTGCGAGAGGCTTCGGCAGCCATGGCTCCCAACGTTCCCGCGGCCGAGCCGGCCCCAGAGAGTCCTAAAGGCATCCGGGCCGTGCTGCTGGGGCCGCCCGGGGCCGGCAAGGGTACCCAGGTGAGCTGCAGGGCCGGGCTTGACGGCGGAGCCCGTGGAACGCCAAGGTCAGGGCGGCTGGAGGTCCCGATCGCCCCCCAGCGGGGCCCCGGGCTGAGTCCTGGGTGCCCCAGCCGGCGTCTGGGTTCTCGCAAGGCCTTTGGGGGGGGGGGCAAATTGGGCGTCGGGCAAGTGTGAGTTAGGATTAGAGTTCTCGAGGGATCCAGGCTTAAGGTGACGTGTTAGGAGATCTAAGGACCGATTCGGTGTCTTAAGGAGTTCGAAGTTGAGCGGTTTTGAAGGGTAGGGTGAGCCCCGGGCTGGGACATCTCGCTTGCGGCTTGAGTGGTGGCAGGGACCCCAGGCTCGCTGCGATTTGGGAGTGAATTGCCCAGGGTTACGTTCCAGGCACTCGGGGTAGGGGATCGTTTCTTATAATGATTAAAAGACTGAAGGCGGAGGGGCGTCTCCAGCCCTTGGGCCGGCTGAGGGAGAGCGCCACGGCCAAGTGAGGTGTGACCTGCGCGGACCAGTGCAGCCGAGGGGCGTGGGAGAGGGTACCTCAATCTACAGGTGAGAACACAGGCCCAGAGCGGGCCAGGCGGCTTTCCAAAGGTAGCAGAATTGCCCTAATGGAGCCTGGAACCTCAGGAGCCAGGGAGCCTCAGGTAATTGGAGCCTGAAGTCACCTTCTGCCCCTAGCCGACTGTGGGGCCTCCCTTGGTGTCTGGGATGGAATGGGCCCATGGATCACCTTTGGGATTTATTGTCTTAATTAGGATTTGGAAGCCCATAGTAGGTTGGACTGTCAATCAACCCGTCCTGCCTAGGGTCTGGCATTACCCCGGAGGGCCCCAGGCTCTTGCTTGTTAGATTCTAAAGGGGATTCCTGAAAGTCTGAGCTGCTAAGTGAACGGGGTTCTGGGGACTGCTCCGTGCCCCCCTCTTCTCTTCCTACACTTGCAGAGATTGCAAAGTCTTGGCACACAGACCGTCTTCTCTTGAACTCATCCCTGCGACGCACCCAGCACATTACTTGGCGCTTGGTGGGGTTACTGGAAATGGATACAGATTCATGCGGATGATGAAGAGGGACATCTGGGAGGTTCAGTTCATGCCTATGATTTTGCTTTTTAGCTCTGGGTACTAGGTCAAGAAGGACCACTTACCCTTTTTTCCCTTTAGCCAGAGCTGATTCATCCTTGGAGCTCACTGTTATCTAATGCCCCTGTCCTTAGTAACACCGAAGTCTCCTCTTTCCTGTTGCTCCCACCCTCAGTATTTAGGTAACCCGTAGCCTTAGACTCTGCAGACTGTTGCTGAGGATAACTCAAAGGCATTGATTATTTTTTCTTAGTTCATATTAAAGTGAATAATTTCAGTAGTTGTGAAATAGACTACCCGTCCCAGTGCTGGGACAATGGCTTTATAATCTAGCAAACTTTGTACCTTCCAGGCCTCAATGTTCTCACCTGAAAAATGGGTCCCCTACTATACTCATTCAAGGTAAGATAGTCCCCTACCGTACTACCTTACTCATTCAGATAGAGCAGCGCCCATGTAGACCAAAAGTTCACAAGGATCTTGGAAGATAGTGTTATATACGTGTGTAAAGCACCTGTAGGTACCTAGATCACAACCTGTCATATGGTAGGTGTTCAATAATTATTGACTCCCTCATCTTAGTAACATATCTCCCGCCCTCCCAACTCAGATCTGTGTCAGTATAACAGGTGATGTAGTTGGAAAGATTTGAAGAAAATTATGAGCTGATTTATAAGGGTCCAGACATGGTGGGAGTTGGTCAGAGGCTTTGTGGAAGTAGAGGAAATGTAATTAGAGCTGGGACTTGAAGAAAGGGTAAGATTTACACAAGTCACTTAACCTCTATATAGCTTTTCATAATTGGAACAATAGGAATACTGGTGGTTGTAGTTTTATGGAGTTTAAAAAAAAAGTGTACATAAATCAGAGGTTGCAAAGTGGCAGCCTATGGCAGCATTTAGCCCACAGATGCTCCCTAACTTTATTATGAAGAGTTTGAATACACAAAAGAAGACAGGATGGTATAACGAGCCCCGCTATACCCATTATCCAGCCCCAACCACCATCAGCTGGTGGCATTCCTTCCCTATTCACTCTCCCTTCACAAATTGTTTTAAAGCAGCACCCAGATATTAAAACATTTTATTTGTAAATATTTCAGTGTGTTGCTCTAAAAGATTAATTCTTTTTTGTAAACAAGCACAATATCCCCTAAAACACAATTTTTAATAATAGTCAATGTTCACATTTCCCTTTGTCTCAAAGATGTGATCATTGTCTTTATTTACAGCTTTCCTCCTAGCTCTTTCATTTCTTGCATTTTTTGTGTGGGAGAAATTAGATTGTTTGTTCTGGGAGTGTCCCTCTTTCTGGGAATTTTTAAATTGTATCCCCATGGCATATTCAACATCTTCCCCTTTCCTCTCTATTTCTTATAAATTGGTAGTTTGATCATACACTTAACAGATATGAGTTCAGTTTTGTGGCCCACCTACGTCACTGGTGGTGCTATGCTGTCCATTAAGAAGCATATCAGCTCTGCTGTCTCTGATATTCAGTGCCTGGTCCAGGGATTCATTGTGGGTGGCAAAATGGTGGCGTTCTAATTATATCTTTCTCTTTTTGTTTATTAGCTAAAACATTTCTATAAAGAGAAACTTTTCATCTGCTATTTGGTATGGTTTGTATAGAAAAGGCAGGATAAACACTTGATTTGTTCCTTTTTTTAAAATCTTTATTGTTGAGAATATTACAGATGTCCCCTGTTCCCTTTTTTAAAAAAATTTTATTGATTTGAGAGAGGAGAGAAACATTGATTTGCTGTTCCACTTATTTATGCATTCATTGGTTGCTTCTTTTTATGTGCCCTGATTGGAGATCAAACCCGCAACCTTGGCACGACGCTCTAACCAACTAAGCTACACAGCTAGGGCTCTGATTTGTTTCTTTTATTTGTCAGCTTTCAAAGTAATAAGTTGAGTCTTGGCCAGTGTGTCTCAGTTGGTTGGAGCATCGTCCCTTATGGCAGAAGGTGGCAGGTTCCATCCTGGTTGGGAAGTGCGCAGGAGGCGGCTGATCGATGTTTCTCTCTCACATCTCTCTCTCTCAAATAAACTAAAATAATAATAATAAGTTGACCACAAAGAGTTTTCAGTTGTGAAATTTCACGTAAAAATCCAGAGCTCCAGTTTCTTGAGAAGTCAGACCTGGTGGCTGTGGGCCTCCATTCTGGCCTGGCATGTAGTTGAGTGGTCAGGCCGCTTTGGATGGCTCGTGTGCTCTCCTGTCCCCTGCATAGCCCTCTTCGCTGCTTATGTTTGACCCATTTCATTCATTTCCATTGCCTGCCTGGCCCCTATTGGTAAATGTTTGCAGTCTTTGATGTAAAATCCCTAACCTGGGTTTGTGCATAGTACCTGCTAAGTAATGTCTGTTTTCTTCCCACTAGGACGTCTTTTTATACCTGCATAACTCAGTATTTTATGTTGGCGTGGCTGAAATTAAACCTGATTCCTATTAAAACTTCTCTTTTTTAACTTAAAAAGTTTAGTTAAACATTTTTAAACTATATGCTTTTTCATCAACATAATGATGTTTAAAACATCTAGAATATGTGGGTTAGTTATTTTATTTAAATTACCATACTTCCCTGTCCCTCTTTTGCAGTCAGATCTTCCTGCAGTGTGGCCAAAACATAGGTGTGTTTTGTGTTTTCTATGCCAGCCCCTCTTCACATTTTCTTTCATGTGTCTAATCTATACCAATTCAAGGCCAGGCACACTTAGGCAATTAGCTGTCATCTTGGAGGTCATGCTCTTTCAGTTATGTCAGTGCAATGACACTTAAACAACTTTTTGAGACCCACACTCTCATTCTCCCTTTTACAGTTAGAGAAACTGAAGTTCAAAAGGCTTGTCCTCTAGGTCACATAGCAAGTAATTGGCAGATCTTGCACCTGAATGACTCCAGAGCTGCTGTTCTTTCTGCTACTATCTGCTGCCCTGGGTTAGATTTTTCTCCTACCCTATGTATGTTTTGTTGGATAAGTTTAGTGCTGGAGATGGAGAGAGCAGCCCTTGCCCTCTAGGAGGGGGTGTAATATACAGAATTGTCACCCTTTGCTTCATTATGTAACAGATCCCTAGCCAAAGACTTTACATGTGTCCTCTTATTTAAGCCTAGAACCCTAGGCGGTAGTCCTGTTATCCATGCCTTTTTACTGGTAAAGTGTATCTTGCCCCAGGATGCACATATAATAGCCAAGGCAAGATTTGAACTCAGACTTGTCCTTGAGCAGCAGAGTCACCATCTTACATTGTTGCTATTAGTCTAGGTATAGGGGGAGAAATGGGAAGTGGCAGGTGAGTGACTCTGACACATGCTAGGGTAGTTCAGGATTAGATCAAGAACTGTAATTTGTTGACAGCCTTCTGTTCTTCCTCCTACCCACCCAGTGATTTTGGTAATAATATCCCTAATTTATAGATGAGGAAACAGTCTCAAAGAATTTCTGGCCTAAGGTTTCATCGTAATTTAAGAGGCAGAGCTGAAATTCAAACACAGGTTTCTGTGCTTTTTAAAAACTTTTTTTACTGAAGTATTATATATAGAGAGAGGTGCAAATATCATAAGCAAGCAGCTCGATGAAAATTCAGTGTGAACACATTTGTATAGCTTACACCCATATAAGAAACAGAACATTGCCATCACTCTGAAGTTGTCCTGCACTCCCTTTCAGACACACAACACACACACACGTTTCCCAAGGACGGCCATTAACAAGGCCATATAGCAGCAATTTTCAACCAGTGTGCACAAGAATTTTTAAAACATGCAATACCTATTTAGTCAGGGGTACTGACCTCTTTTCCCTTAGACTGTCATATTAAAAAATGACAACAGCCTGGCGGGGCAGGGCTCAGCGGTTGAGCATTAACCCAGGATCCAGGCGATCGGGGTTCGATTCCCAGTCGGGGCACATGCCCGGGTTGTGGGCTCGATCCCCAGTCGGGGGCATGCAGGAGGCAGCCGATCAATGACTCTCTCATCATTGATGTTTCTATCTCTCCCTCCCTCTCCTTTCCTCTCTATGAAATCAATATATTTTTTTAAAAAAGAAAAATGACAACAACCAACACAGCAATAGCCATCTGGTGTGAATGAATCAGAATGTCAGATCGACAAAATATATTTTTTGGTGTGCTGCAGAATTTTGGTAATTTTTTATGTGCCATGAGATGGAAAAGGTTAAAATCGCTACCATATAGCATCATGGTTAAGAGCTAGGGCTCAACAGTCTTGAGGCCTGTTACTAGCTCTGTTGTTACTAGCTATGTGATCTTGGGCAACCTAGCCTCCGAATTTCATTTGTAAAATGCAGATAAAAATAGTTTTTACCTCATGGATTTGTTATATATTATGGATACTAAATTCTATAAAATAACACATGGAAAAATTGCTTGGCTTTTGCAAACACTAAAGTTAGCTGATATTGATGACTTCTTCCTGGAAGAAGAAGGGATAATTGGGTGGGAGAGATAAGCTCAGAATTTGACTACAGAGCCTTCACTGCAGGGGCGGGGAGAGGGCCTTCCTGCATAGAGAGGAGCCTTGAGCTGAGGTCCATGGAGAGACTTACTTTATGTATTTGGGAATTATACATAAAGCAGCTGTTTGCAGTGGTGCAGGGCATACAGAAGGGGACTTGGGAGGTAAATTTGAAGAGCTTGGAGGGTTTTGAAAGTTGATTGTGGAGACACTGAGTGCTAGGCTAAGATATTTGGACTTCCCCATTGCACTGGGGAGATGTCAAAGGCTCCTGTATGTGTGTGTTGGGCAGGGTGGGTAACATTTCCAACAGTATTTTAGGAGATGATTCTAGCTACATATGCAGGAACAACAGAGGGGAGCCAGAAAAACTGGAGGCAGAAAGATGTTTTCGAGGTGAGAAACCAAGTTAGTTTGAGACTGAATCAAATCTGAAGAACTGATAGCTTCCCTTGATTTCTCTGAATGCCAGACACTATGCTGGACGCTTTTGCATATACTGTATAATCTTATTAAATCCCCACAACAGCTCTGAAAATGGACATGGTTGTCTGTACTGTAGGGATGAAGAAACTGAGGCCTTAAGAAGGCTGCATAACTTGTTCAAGGTGATACAGTGAGTAAACTGTAAATCCATTTTCCACCCCAACTCTGAACAACTGTAAGGCCCAGTCTTGCCCCCACTGCCCCAGGGCTTCGAAGACTGTGGTCCATGGCTAATGAGACACAAGTGGCTCAGAGCTTCAGCAGCAACAGACTGGTCAGGGGCCAGGAGCATGGCCAGGCCTGGAAGGTTGTTAAAAATGCAGGTTCTCATGCCCCACACTGTAGAATCAGAACCTGCATTTTAGAAGCATTCCTCCTCTCTGTGTCCCCCCACCCCACCCGTGATTTGGAGTAAGAGAGGCATTGCTCTAAAGTGTAAGCTTGAATTGTGAGGGGAATATGGTCAAGTTATTTCATCAAGCTTCTTCTGCAGTTTGCAAGTAGAGTAATGCAAAAAAAGAGCCCTGGCCAGTGTGGCTCAGTTGGTTGAGCATTGTCCTATGCACCAAAAGGTTACCGATTCAACTCCTGGTCAGGGTACATGCCTGGGTTGTGGATCGTCTGCTCTCACAGCGATGTTTCTCTCTCTCTCTCTTCTTCTCTCTCTAAATGTCAGTTTAAAAAAATTTTTTTAAAGAGTAATGCAAAATAGAAAGACCATGAAAGGAGGTCTTTTATTTACTGAATGCACACTGTGTGTCTGATGTTTTGGATACTTTATTTCATTTTATCCTCACAACAGCCCTAAGAAATAGATGGTATCCGTTATCCCATGTGACTGATGAGGAAGCTGAGATTCTGAGAAGTTAAGTAACGAGCCCAGGGTCACACAGCTATTGAGTGCTTTAACCAGGATTCGTGTGCAAATCTGTCTGACTCCAAAGTCTGAGCTCTTTGCAGCTCATCACCCTGACTCCCTTGCAGCCAGCAGAGAATAAAGAGTCAGTTTCTCGCCATGCCATGCCATGTCTTCCCTATTGGAGTGTCCTTCCGCGCGGCTGTAGAATCCAGTCACCTGTAACAGCACAGAAGAGCCCTATAGTTTGGGGTTCTGTACTGCTAACAGCGCTTCTTTGGTGTTTTGGTCAGCCTTTCCCCTTGAACAAGTCTGACCTCCATATTTTTCACCCCAGTTAATTTCAACAACCAAGGAGAAAGATTGGCAGAAAAGCACAGTTCTCTGGGTATGTGGCCTCTGGGTCAGTTTGGAGGACTGGAAGGTTTGCCATTGCCAGAGGTTCTGACCTTTATTGGTTTTCCAAAGTTTGTAACGCCTTCTCATTTGGGTTCTGTTTTGCTATGAAGTTATTTCTTTGCCTGAACGGAATCGTTCCATGAATCACAAACCAGAATTTGCTGCATTGAGCCCCATCTATTAAGTTTTTATTGTGTGCACCTAAGAAAACTCCCAGTGAACTGGTTTGAACAAGAACAGAACCCAACTTTTTAAATAAACAATTGAGCCAGAAAGCTAAGTACAGAGGTGCCTTGGTTTTCAAACGTCTCCATGGATGAACATTTTGGTTTACGAACGCTGTAAACCCAGAGGGAAATGCTTTGGCTGTTAAACACGCCACACGGTGTCCCCTGAGGGCCAGATCCTGAGGCCTAGCTGTTGGCCGTTGATCCCCCAGTTTTTGAGCATTTCAGAACTCGAACAGTCTTCCGGAACGGACCACATTCGAAAACCGAGGTATCGCTGTGTTAAACTCCTTGAACTGATTCTGTTCCTTATGAGTTCTGCAGTTTTTTTGTTTGTTTTGTTCAATGTTGAATTGTCCAGGTTCTCTTCTTGTCCTAGTCTCTATTCTGATGTATAGCCCTCCAAACTGCGAGCTCACAGAGGACAGGAATTCTGTCTCCTATTCGTCTGTTTCTCTGGCTTCCAGGAGCGTTCTTGGAAGAGATGTCAGTAATGATGAATGAATATATTCATTTCTGTATGAATGAATGTGGACTTAGGGCAGGGGTTACAGTAACAGCTAATGTTCACTGAGAAGTTACTATGTGCCTTGCCCTGCATATGCCAAATTCTGTATACTCTCATCAGCCCAGTGGTGTAGGTGCTGTTACCATCTCCATTTTTTACTTAGAGGAAATTTGAAACTTAGAAAGGTATACAATTTTTCTCAAGTCACATACCTATATAGTCATTGGTAGACCTGAAGTCTGACACCCAGGCAGTTTGATCTCAAGCCCATGCTCTTAACTAAAAGGCTATACTGCCTCCTAAAACTAATATTAAGTACTTACTGTTTCCCACGTTCTCTTTGGATATATCTCATCTGATCCTCACAGCTACCTTCCTTGATGGAGCCCTTTGCCTTCATTTTAAACAGATGAGGAAACCGAGCCTCTGAGAGGTTATGTGATTTGGCCAAGATAATGCAGCTACCAAGTGACAGGGAAGGGGAAAAACTGTCTGCCTGCGGGAAGCCTGTGTTCTTCACCTGGCCCCAGCTGCCCCTCAGGCCAGTGGCCACAGCACTGAACAATCACACATTCAATCCTTTGGCAAATATCTATTCAACACTTTACAGGCCAGGCATTGTGCTTTGTGTACATGAACTCAAACTTCACAGCAACCATGTGAAGTATTGCCATTGCTGTTTTTATTCTCCCTGTTTATAATGCGAAACTGAGGCTTACGTGTCTAGCGGGAGAAGTGATAATAGCTAATATGTGACAGCTTCCTGCGTGCTAGGTGCACCACTTTAAGTGCTTTATGCGTATTATCTCATGCTGTTCTTACTATAAGCTCATAATCATTATATGTTAGAATATAATATAAGGTACTTTTATCCCTGTTACAGGTAAGGAAATAGCCATTTGCCAAAATTTACACAGCCAATAAATTCCAGGGCCAGGTTCACATCCAGGACGTTGGACTCTAGGGCCTACAGTGGTAACTGTATTTTGGTTTTTGTTTTCCCCTCCATAGGCACCCAAATTGGCCAAAAACTTCTGTGTCTGCCATCTCGCCACTGGAGACATGCTGAGGGCCATGGTGGCTTCTGGCTCAGAGCTGGGGAAAAAACTGAAAGCAACTATGGATGCTGGGAAACTGGTAGGTTTGGTGGTACCAGTGAATGTTCATATTCCTCAGTCTAGATCTGCACTGCCTAATGGGGTAGCCACCAGCCACGTGGAGCTATGGAAATTAATTTAGATTCAATTTCATGTAAAATTCAGTTTCTCAGTCTCGCTTGCCACATGTCACGTGTTTGCTGGCCAGCACAGATAGAGAACATTTCCATCACTGTAGAAAGTTCTGTTGGACAGGCCTGTGCTCTGCAGTGTTTGAATGAACTGGCACATCACAGGAACTTTTAGAGTAGCAGGTTACTTGGTTCATTCTGAATTTATTGCACTTATTTTATTCATAGTATTCTTGAGGTTCCTCTGTGCATTTTGTAATATACCAGTTTTTAGGGCCAAAAATGAAACTGCCATCCCTAGGCCAGAACTCAAAGATGTGTTAAAGAGAGGACTCAAGGAGCCACAGTATTTTTAATCTACTTTGTGACTCTGTTCTGTGTCTCTAACAGAGGAATTGCTTTTGACAGACGTAATCCTTCCTGTTTGGGGGATATAATAGTATTTTCTCTTGTTTCTGGCCCAGTTAATCTGATTAGACAAATACAATCTATAGTCTACTGAATCTTCTTTGATTAGTCCAGAGTTTAATTGTAACCGAGTTAATCTGGGACATGGCCTCTGTGAATCACTTTTAGAAGTCATTTTTCACTTGACCCTCTGGCCAGCGGGTTGGTTAGGGAAGGTGCTGAGCTTTGCCTGCATTCCCGAATTAAAACTTCCCATCAGGCTTTGAAATTCAGTACCTCTATGGAATGGTACCCCTGCCTGCCTGCCTGCCCACCTGCCCTGCCCGTTTGCTTCCAGCTTTCCCTTCATGTCAGTGAGGCCTTGTCAAGCCAGAAAGCTAGATAGTCTGGACTTTGGGTTTTGGCAGAATATACTGTACTGAGAAAAAGCTGGGATGTGGCAATGAGATTACTTATCTCCAGCCTTCACTTAGTTGCAGAGCTTATACTTTGTCCCCGAGTTCACAGCTGGTCCGGGGAGATAAGAGCACAAGTACCAAGAGGGGCAGCCTTCACTGTAATGTTAGCAGGGAACTTTATCCCTGAAGGCCCAGGAGGAAACCAGCTTTTGAAAGCTGGAAGGGGTCCTCATGGGGGTTTTCAGAGAGGCTCAAAGGCATGTTGAGCTGGCTCCTCAGTTCCTTGGTTCCAACTCAGTCTTGCCAGTCCAGTGAACTTCTCTGCTGCCTCATGTCCAGGGTGGCCAGGGTCACTTTACTGTCAGCCTAATCAAAATTGTGAAACAGGGAAAGTTGGAGCCTCTGTGCATCCTGGTCAACCCCCACGGTCAGGTTATACAGACACAGACCTGTAATCCTGGAATTGGGTTAATATCACCTAGTTCATGGATTTAAACCCAGGGCTATTTTGTTCTTGACTTCCAGGTGAGCGATGAAATGGTAGTGGAGCTCATTGAAAAGAATTTGGACACCCCTCCATGCAAAAATGGTTTTCTTCTAGACGGCTTCCCTCGGACTGTGAGGCAGGCAGAAATGGTGAGTGGGTTGGTTTTATATCACCATTGCCTGATAAATTCTGGCCCTTAATCTCTTAATTCCTTTGAGGGAAATGGGTCTGATCAAGCTCTGGTAGCTTAGGTGGGACACACACTCTTTTACAGCTTGACGACCTCATGGAGAAGAGGAAAGAGAAGCTTGATTCTGTGATTGAATTCCGCATCCCAGACTCTCTGCTGATCCGGAGAATCACAGGAAGGTATTTGTCCCCAGAAGGTCCCTTCTTTTCATGCTTCTTCAGAGATTAGTCAGACTGTGGCAATTGTTCTTATCTAATCCCAGTCATGAAACTTAGTGCCGTTTCAACATGGATTGATTTTATTTGGTGACATCTGCTGAAGTGGTAACATGGATGTGGATGTGGAAAGAAGAGCAAAGGATTTGAAGTCAGACAGTATCTCAGTCCTGTCACCTTTTTACTCTGACCCTCGGCAAGTGACCCTCGGCAACCTATCTAGGCTGTTTCCTCATATTTAGAGTAGGGTTAATACCTGTTTGAGGAACTTTTGTGCATGTTAGATAACATAAAGTGCTTAATCCAGAGCCTTGCTTATAGTAGATGCTTAAGTGTTAAATTCTTTACCTGTGTCCCTCTGTTTTAGTGCTTTTTAAAATCTGATTTCAGTTGGAGTTGTCATACGTTGCTCTAGGCTTTTTATTAATTATAAAAATAATGTGACCACCCAACCAGGCATGGCTCGGCAGTTAAGCATTGACCTAGGATCCAGGAGATTGTGGTTCGATTCTTGGGCAGGGCACATGCCCAGGTTGCAGGCTTGATCCCCGGTGGGGGCTGTGCAGGAGGCAGCCGATCAATGACGACTCTCATCATTGATGTTTCTATCTCTCCCTCTTCCTTCCTCTCTCTGAAATCAATAAAGATATATTTAATAATAATAATAATAATAATATGATCATCTACACGAAGTTTAGAAAATGAAGGGAAAATTTGCTCATGGTATAGCCACTGCAGCCAAAACCACTGTTACTTTTGTGTGTGCATGTTTTGTTTTAAGTCCTTGTTTCTCCATAGTAGTCAACATTGACTACTGTGCATCTGAACCAGTTGGTTCTGAAAGATCACCAATGCTTCGGGCAATAGTTTCCTCTGTCCTGTTTTTACTAGTCACTCTGCCGTCTGCATTGTGCCTCCCAGAAATATGTTGAAAGCTCTCAGCCACTAATTGATCCTCCCATCCCTTTTTTATTGTGGGCTTTAGCTTTTTTATTACTTGGCCATTTTAATGGAATCTTAGGAAGGTGGTAAGCCTACGTCATGGAACCCGACATCTGTGACATATTTTTAATTGCTGTGTGATTTTTCACAGATGAACCATCATTCACTTAATTGTTCTCTTATTGTTATACATTTGTGCCTCTTCCAGTTGTTCACTGTTAAATTTATGCTGTGACCATCATAATACATGTAAAATTTTGGATTTAATTAGGGGGAAACTGTTTTCTTACTGTAAATTTTATTACTTTGATTTCCTAATGAGGTTGAATGTTTTTTCCATGCGTCTGCAGTCCACATTGTCAAGGGGGCAGACATGTAAACAGATAGCAGAGTGAGCGTTAGCGGCATTTTCCTGTAAGGCTATGTTAGATACAGTGGGATCATCTTACATTAATTTTCTTTTCAAGTGTCCAGGTTTCATGTTTCTAGCTATTCCATAGGCTCCTTTAATGCAGAAACTTTCCTTTCTTTGCATCCCCACTGGCACAGAGTAGACAAAGTTGATGTAGCGCTAAGGTTGATAGGATGGGACATCACCAGGCCTGGGGTCCCTGATGCGTGCAGCAGATGTTAACAGTACTAGGTGGCACTGGCGGCCTTTGATTCAGTCGACCCAGTGTCTTGAGCTCCTGCTTTGTGCTCAGCACAGTAGTAGACTCCAGGGCAGGGAGCAGGAGAAGACAGAGAACAATATGATGCCCATCTCTCACCTCAGAGAGTTTACAAACCATACATGAAACCTGAGCTGTTAAGTGTGGTCGGAAGTCCAAGAAGAGAGCTTTGGGGGAAGGAGGGAAGGCTGCCTTTCTGGATAGAGAGGATTTTGGTGGCTTTCCCAGAAGTGAGTAGAGGCCAGAATAAGTATGGGTTGGAGGAGGGGCTCTAGCTGAGGCTAGTGGCAGGATGTCTGTCCAGAGTTGGAGGAATGGCCTTGAGTGCTGGGCAGTAGACAGAGTCAGGAATCGTGGCATGTTCTTAAGCCATTAGGTGTTGTGGCAAAAACAACATTCTAAGAACATTAGCTTGGTCTTGGCATACAGGCTAAATTGGGGAAAGGAGAAACAGACAAGGACCCCACCTAACAGCCTGATTGGCCCACATGTGAAGTGGTGGAGGCTTTTAACTGGGGTTGGCTGGCAGGGAACAGAGAGATTCTTAAGAACAAACTACAGGATTGATGTTGAGGGCGAAACAGGCAAGACTCAGTCTCTCAGTTTGGAAGTAAGTGGTTTAGTGTGATCCCCTCCCTCGCAGTGGAAGGACTAGCATTTTCCAAGTTCCCTCTGCACATCAGTGACAAAGCTGGCACCAGAAACCTGCTTTCTGCCTCCTAGTCCACTGCTAGTCAGGAACTAGCAATTGAATGTGGATCTTATTTAAATCTGACATGCTCAGGACCCCACTGTAGATATCTTCTGAATTAGCTCATACCTCACTTCTAATAAATTTATGAGTCATTATTTTATTTCTTAAATAAGTATGGCTGGTGGTTTGGGGTTTTAACCTATTCAGTGTTGGCTCTCTAGTATCCTAATTATCCTACCAGCTGGTTCTCTGGTCTCATTAGCCTAATGTCTCCTGCCATCCCATTCTGTGGATGAGAATACAAGTATCTGAAGTGCCACATTCAAGGTGGCAGTGGCTGTAGATTCCCAGCCCTGGTCCCTCCACCTCCAGGCCAGGTTCAGTGACTCATAGAGCTGTTTTGGTTGGTGCTTAAGACCAGTTCCATCTGAGAACTTGGAGATTGGGCTTTCTTTTTTTCCTTTTCCTTTTAAGGAGTGAGCCTTGCATTCCTCTTAAAATGATGTTTCTGAGTAGGGAGGGAGCACTGTTGTTGTAACTGGAAGACTGAGGGAATGTGAGAGTGAGCAAGAATGAGAGAGGAGAGAGTCGTGTTTATTGCCATCTGGCTGCCATGTGCCCTGTGCTCTCCAGAAAGTGAAGAAATAGGATCCACACCTCACGCCCCCCCATTCCTAAAGGGAAAGCTGTAGGTGAGCCGAACAGCCCACACTCTCCCTCCCCTCGGGTCTCCCAGCGCTGCACCAGATGAACCACTCCAACAGCTAAAGTAAGGAGGGCCCATCCTCACCTTCATGCTTGCAGTCATGGGCCCACTCAGTGTAGCTAACTTGCTCTGTTGTCACCTCACCCCGCTGCCCAGTGCTGTAAATGAACCCCCTTATACTATAAATGGACCTCTTGACTCTGAAAAATGCACCGTCATTGAAACACAGCATCACATTTTACACAGTTGCGGCTTTGATAGTCTAACACAGACTTTCCTAACTGATGAGCTGAGATCTTGATCCCCGCAGCCATTAGAGCAGCTGGGCAGGCCTGGGGTGGCCATACCTCCCCGGGAGGAGCAAGGGCCTCGAGCACTGTATTTCTGTGTGTGCCAAGAGCTGAAAGATGTTGGGACGTCCTGGTCTAACAGACCTTGAGGAGAGCTGCCATCAATCAAATAGGCAGACCTTGGTTGGCTCAGACTTGGGAAACGACATGAACTTGAGCAAGTGGGCCCTGGCTGCTGAGCTGTGTTTGTCCTGCCTCCTTCCCTTCTTAGGTCTCTGGGCTCCTGTGGTGAAGCCTCACCCCGTCAGGAACACAGGCTTGTTGCCTAAGGGGACACATCACAGGTGTGGCTACCAGTGCCAAATAAGTGCTTCCTCTTGGGCTCTTTATTCCATGACTCGTTCAATAAGTCATTTTTCCCAGCACTTTGAATATTGCGCTTTAGTGGTTGGGCTCTCTTTTATCTTTATGATCACAAATGGTGCTGCATCATCTGGTGGTGTTTGCATCTTAGGACATATTTTTCCAATAGCACCTTTCTGGATTTATAACCAACCTAGGTTACAAAATAAGGTTGGTTTCTCTGCCCCTCATAGCATTTTGCACAAATCTCTGTTAAAGGATTGTGAGGTTTATTGTGGTTATTTATTTCCACATTTGTCTCCCCACTGAATTAAGCACTGCTTGAGCAGGGAACCTGACGTGTTGCTCTATAGCCCCCAGATTGAGTTTAAGGCCTGAATCGGACGAGGTACTTAGTAAAGATTTGTTGAATAAACAGGTAAATAGAATGAGCGGCTGTGTGACACCAACACCAGAGTTCTTCTTCCAAGTCCTGAATTAGGTAGTTGCACCAGCTCTTCAGCCAGGTACTCATTTTAATGTTGGATCAAAATAGAAAACATACTCACTCAGTCATAAGCTCAGTTATCTCCTTCAGCAAGAGATGCCGATAGCTGTGTTCTCTGCTGGGTTCAGGTCCTTGCTCCAGCTTCTCTGTCTCTGCTCGTCATCTTGGGAGACCCCTGCGGTTCCGGATACTTTCAGGCCACTCGACTTTTGTTCCTTTGCTGTCTTTCAGGCTGATTCACCCCAAGAGTGGCCGTTCCTACCACGAGGAGTTCAACCCCCCAAAGGAGCCCATGAAAGATGACGTATGTAGACTCAGGACAGGACGTTTCCTTCTCCTTCCTTCGTTTCCCCTTTGTTTCTCCCATCTTCCCTTCATTTCTACCAGCATTACTGACTTAACCATGAGAAATATTACAGTCACATAAATCACACGGGCTGTGGCTCATCTCTGCAGTGCCTCTCCAGCTGGCTTACTGCTTGACTTTGAGGTGGCTACCGGTGCTAGCTACTTCCCAGTGCCCAGTTTGTACCTGTCCTTTGTCCAGAGCAGCACCTTTCTGACATTGTGGTAACCTGAATGGTTAATCAGGAGAAGGCTGCGTGGAAGCGCAGAGGCAGAGCCAAGGAGAAGAAGGTAGCACTGGAAAGAAGTTTGTTGACCTGCTTCAGAAGAATGTCCTGTCTCTCTAGTGATTCTCCTGTGCCCTACACATTCAAAATATTTTGGCCAGGTTGACATTGCCAAATTCTTATGACAGTCTTCAATTGTCTGCAGGTGTAAAAGGGAGGGCCTCATGTGTGTTCACTGTAACATTTGCCACAAACAGCCCATGTCCTGTGTTTCAGAGCATGCAGGCAGTAGTAAGAATTTCCTGGAATTATCTTTGTCTGTGAGACAAGTTCATCAGGTCATACAGGTTCCAATGCCACCATGATAATTTAGTCACATTTCACAGAGTTAGTAGTTCTTTCATTCAGAGTTCTTTCGCACTTTACTTGCTACTTTCAGAGTGTTGGTGGCTGACACCCTGATAAAAGCACAAAATACTTAGGCAAATAAGATGGTAATTGCAAATGCATCTCTGATTTTGATGTATTTTCCTGGTCTGAGGGGCCTCCATCTTTTTTTTCTGACCTTGAAATGTTCACCTTGGAACCTGAATGGCCTGAGCAAAAGCTAAGAGAAAGGCATTGCCCATCTTCCTCTCACAAGCCTCTTCCCTCTCAGTTGCTGTTTCAGGCTCCCTGACTTCTCTGGGCCAGTTGGTCTGCTCCTGGGACCAACTTGCTGGGATTGGTGAAGTTCTTTAAAATTCTTTATTGGAGAGGGTCTAGACTGTCTGCCTTTCCCTCCGATGGACTTTGGGATTAGACAGCAGCTCAAATGTGCATCTGACATCGGAAACCTTTGCTAACAGTCCCGGCCTTCCCTTGCCTCTTCCTATTCTCAGATCACTGGGGAACCCTTGATCCACAGATCAGACGATAATGAGAAGGCCTTGAAAATCCGCCTGGAGGGCTACCACACGCAGACCACCCCGCTGGTGGAGTACTACAGGAAACGGGGGATCCACGCTGCCGTTGACGCCTCCCAGACCCCTGATGTCGTGTTTGCAAGCATCCTAGCAGCCTTCTCCAGAGCCACATGTAAAGACTTGGTTATGTTTATCTAATGTTGGGTCCAAAAAGGAATTTCTTTCTTCTTCCTATCCCTGTTGAGGGAGTGGGTGGGAACAGCAGACCAGGCAGAAGGAAGCTTCCTCAGGCCAGCAAGAATATCATTTCATGTATTGATTAAAAAAGCACTTGCTTGATGTATCTTTGGTATGTGTGCAACTCTCATCTCATCTGTGTGTGTGTTGGTAGAGATGTGTGTACACTCCTACTTTCTAAGTTGTAGGCGAGATTTCTTTACTAGCTGTTTACTTCTTTAGACATACTCTCAATTTTATTTTTTGATTAAAATAAACTAACTCAGATATCTGCCAGGTACCCCAGTTCCCTGGTATTTATTCCATTTCCGACAGCTGATTAGAAGTCCAGGGTCAAGTGTAGTCAGTCAGGGCCCCAGTACCTGGTGGCAGATTGTTGGCAGGGAATTCCACCTGTTTCCTAGCCCACAGTGAAAAGCCACATGAGCCTGTGGTTGACAGGGATCATTGACCCCCCCCCCC